AAGACTGTTAAGTAGACCTTAGCTTGAAACGAAATTCCATCTGGCTTAGTTGCCCACAAACACCTTATTTCCCATTTCCAGAGACCCGGTGAACGCTCTCAGCTGTGGTACATCTCCGACACGGGCCACATTCTGCACGAGGGAAGCTCTGTGCCCTGTGAACCCAGTTCACGTGAACGCCAGCACCTCTCCAAGCGCAGTTGGGTTCTGGATGTGGATACCGGCACGCCGGCTGCTGATGCCATTCGGAATCACGTACCCTCTATTGACTCGACTACTCTGGAGAATTTTGAGATTGGAATTCTCTGTCTGGCGCCATTCTCTCGTCGGCGTGCCAACTACCAGGTTTGGCATCTGGATGAGGTATGCTTTGTAAATCTGATGAAATGTGAAGGTCGAAATTTGAGTGGGGGATTTAGCATACATTGGAGGTTGTTAATTTTGTTAATTAGGTTGACTTGAGGCGCCATGTGCTGTTTAATAGAAATGACTTCCGTTCAGGTCAGTATACTGGGGGAAAATAGGGGTGGAATTGGGCCAAATTCAATGTTTGTTGATATATAAGTATTTTCTAGTCTGACCACAAAAAACGCCATTGCATGTGCCACATGGGATCTTCTATACAGTGCATTCGTAAGTGCTTAAGTTGTGGTCTTAGACCTTTCGGGTTATTGCGAGAGGGCTGTTTGTGCTATGGTGCAATAGATAAATTTGGTGCTCCGGATGTATAACTAACTATTTTGTAAAACTGTAAGTAGGTAGCCGGATGATTGAACTTAGTAGCCTCTAAGTAGTATTTGTACTCGGATCACTGCAATCATCAGGCCGATTCCCACGCTGGAAGTTAAATGTAGAAGTCACCAGCAGGAGGGATTTATTGTGAACAGAGCTCCCAGATGCTGTCTCAGGCGGTAGTTTTCAGGGCCCAACTCAATGGCGTGCGTACACAGTCCTGACGAAGCATTCCCACGGCAAGCGACCGGTTCACTCATACACAATGCACGTGATAACGCCGTGCAGCTGCAGCCGGGCGCCGGTTGCTAACGCGCCAGCTGCGTGAATCAAATAGCCAATGAAGTCCCCCCTTACTTGAGCCGACAATATAGTTGGTCCAACCTTGTATATATGCGTTCGCTTGCT